GTAATTTGTTATTTAAAAAGTCCTTAGTTCCACAGAAGTTGTGTCCCTTTGCTGTCTATTTCTACTAGCCTGGAAAGTAAGAATGAAAAAACAATAGTTCACAGATTCAAAGCTTCTTATAGGAGGGTAAAGTGATAGTTCAGCCTTTTTGGAAAGAACACAGGCTTTGCTGCCTGCCAGACTTGCTAAGACTTAGATCCCATATTTGCCAGCTACTAGCCATGAACCTTTGGCAAGTAATTTTAGCTTTAGGAGGATCAGTTTCCTAGTAGAAATAAAAACAATAATAATACATTCTTCACAGTAAGGCTGTTAGGATCAGAAATAGTATTCTAGTACCTAATACAGTGCCAGGAACATAGCAGATACTTAATAAATGACAAGTATAGTACACCTAGAGTAGGAGTATCAAAATATACAAAGCAATTATTAACAAACCTAAAGGGAGAAACTGATAGCAACACAATAATCATAGGGGACTTGAACACCCCACTTACATCAATGGATATATCACCCATAAAGAATGTCAACAAGGAAACAGCAGTCTTAAATGAAACATTAGACCAGATGAAGTTGATAGATTTGTACAGAACATTCCCTCCAAATATAGCAGAATACATATTCTCAAGTGCATATAGAACATTCTCAAGAACAGACCATATGTTAGTACACAAAACAATAAATTCAAGAAAACTGAAATCACATTAGGCATCTTTTCCAATCACAATGCAATGAAAGTAGTAATCAATTACAAGAAAGATGGAAAAACACAAATGTGTGGAGAATGAACAACATGCTACTGAACAACTATTGGGACAACAAAGAAATCAAAGGAGAAATCCAAAATTACCTGAAGTCAAATGAAAATGAAAATACAACATACCAAAATGTATGGGATGCAGCAAAAGTGGTACTAGGAGGGAAGTTTATAACAACACATAGCTACATCAAGAAATAAGAAATAAATCCCAAAGAAACAATCTAACCTTACATGTAAATGAACTAGGGAAAGATGAAGCCTAAAGTCAGTACAAGGAAGGAAATAATAAATATCAGAGTGGAAACAAATGAAATAGAGACCAAAAAGACATAAAAAAGTTCATTGAAACTAAAAGCTGGTTCTTTAAAAAGATAAACAAAATTAACAAACTTTTAGCTAGACACTAAGAAAAAAATAGAGAAGGCTCTGATAAATAAAATCAGAAATGAAAAAGGAAAAATAATAACAGATGGTACAGGAATACAAATAATTATAAGAAAAAATTATGATCAGCTATATGCCAGCAAATTAGCCAACCTAGAAAAAATGGACAAATTCTTAGAATCACAAACTTCCAAGACTGAATCATGAAGAAATAGAAAGTCTGAATAGACTGAGCACCAGTGAAGAGATTAAAACAGTAATCAAAAAACTCCCCCAAACAAAAGTCTAAAACAAGACAGGTGAATTTTACCAAATATTCAAAGAAAATTTAATACCTATCCTTCTCAAGCTCTTATTAAAAATTAAAGAGGAGGGAACACTTCCTAACTCATTTTACAAGGCAAACATTACCCTGATTGATACCAAAAACCAGACAAGGATAACACATACATAAAATTACAGGCAAATATCTCTGATGAACACAGATGCAAAAATCCTCAACAAAACTTTTTCAAATTGAATACAATACGTTAGAAGGATCATACACCATGATCAAGCAAGATTTACTCAAGGGATGTAAGGATGGTTCAATGTGCACAAATAAATCAATGTGGGACACCACATTAACAAAATGAAAAAAGAAAACCATATCTCAATAGATGTATAAAAATTATTTGACAAGATTGAATACCCATATATGATTAAAACTCTCAATAAAATGGGTATAGAAGGAAGTGCCTCAGCATAATAAAGGTCATGTATGACAAACTCACAGCTAACATCATACTCGATAGTGAAAAACTGAAAACCATCCCTCTAAGATCAGGAATAAGATGGGATACCCATTCTCACCACTGTAATTCAACATAGAATTACAAGTCCTAGCTAGAGTAATTAGGCAAGAAAAAGAAATAAAAGGCATCTAAACTGGAAAGGAAGAAGTAAAACTGTCACTATTTGCAGATGACATTTTATATATAGAAAACTCTAAAGACTCCATCAAAGAACTATTAGAAATACTAAACAAATGCAGTAAAGTTAAAGGGTACAAAATGAGCATACAAAAATCTGATGTGTTTCTACATGCTAACAATGAACTAGCAAAAATAAAAATTAAGAAAATAATCCCATTTACAATTGCAACAAAAATAACAAAATACCTAGGTATAACTAAGGATGTGAAAGACCTGTACACAGAAAACTATAAGACATTATTGAAAGAATTTGAAGGCACAAATAAAGAAAAAGTTATTCAATGCTCATGGATTGGAAGAATTAACATTGCTAAAAAGCCCATGTTACCAAAAGAAATCTATAGTTTCAGCAAAATCTCTATCCAAATCCCAAGGGCAGCTTTCATAGAAATAGAGCAAAAAATTCTAAAATTTATATGGAACCACAAAAGACCCTGAATAGCCAAAGCAATTCTGAAAAAAAGAAACAATGCTGGAGGTATCACATGCCCTGATTTCAAACTATATTACAAAGCTACTGCAATCAAACAGTATGGCATTGGCAGAAGAACGGACACATACAACAATAAAACAGAATTGGGAGTCCTAAAATAAACCCACACATATGTGTACAATTCATTTAGGACAAAGGCACAAAGGATATACAATAGAAAAAGATAATTTCTTCAATAAATGGTGCTGGGAAAACTGGATAGCCAAGAAAGGAAGGAAAGAAGGAAGGAAGAAAAGAAGGAAGGAAGGAAGGACGGATGGAAGGAAGGAAGGAAGGAACTAGACCACTACCTCACAACATACAAAAATGTATATATCAACTAAAAATGAGTTAAAGACTTGAATGTAGGGCTTGAAACTATAACCTTCCTAGAAGAAGGGTTTGACATTGATCTTAGCAATATTTTTTCTGGATACTCTCATCAGGCAAGGGAAACAAAAGCACAAATAAGGAAATAGGACTCTATCGATAAAGCTGAAAAGCTTCTGCATAGCAAAGGAAACCTCCAACAAAATGAAAACATAACCTACCAAATGGGAGAAGACATTTGCAAATCATATAGTTTATAAGGAATTAATATCCAAAATATTTAAATAACTCATATGACACCAACAAATAGAGCCAAACAACCTAATTTAAAAATGGGGAAAGGAGCTGCGTGGATATTTTCAAAGAAGACATACAAACGGCCAAAAGGCACATTAAGCAGTATTCAACATCATTAATTATTAGGGAAATACAAATCAAAATCACAGTGAGATATCACATCATGCCCATTGGAATGGCTATTATCCAAAGTGCAAGAAATAACAAGTGTTGAAGAGGATGTGAAGAAAAGGGAACCCTCATACACTGTTGGTGGGAATGTTAATTGGTACATCCACTATTGAAAACAGTATGAAGATTCCTCAAAAAACTAAAAATAGAACTACCATATGATCCAACCATTCTACTTCTGGGTGTTTATACAAAGAACATGAAAACGCTAATTCATAAAGATATATGCACCCCTATGTTCATCACAGCTTTATTAACATAGCCAAGATATGGAAACAACCTAAGTGCCAATCAATGGATGAATGGATAAAGATGTAATATATACATAAAGAAATACTACTCAGTCATAAAAAGATGAAATCTTCCCATTTGCAACATGGATTAACCTTTAGAATATTATGCTAAGTGAAATAAATCAGATGGAGAAAAACAAATATCTATGATTTCACTTATGTGGAAAAAACATACAAAAAAACTCAAATGAACGAAAAACCAGTATAAATGAACAAACTAAACCAAACCAAAACAAACATGTAGATACAGAGAACAAAAGAGTGGTTATCAGAGGGGAAGGAGGGGCAAAATGTGTAAAGGAGGACATAGAAACTAAACTTTTGATGGTGAGCATGCCATAGTATATATAGAAATAAAAATATGTTGTACACATGAAACTTACTTAATTTTATAAACCAGTTACCTTGATAAAAAATAAATAAAATAATAATATATGGCAACAGTAGCAATAATTATATTAATAAATAATATCATTATTACTATTTTATTCTACAAATAATAAGTGCCTACTATGTAAAAGTCAGGCATTGTTCTAAGTCATTGGGATACAGAAATAAATTTAACTGGCCCCAAATCCTTCCCATCATGAAGCTTACATTCTAGTGATCATTGTGAATGGTTTTTATGTTCTTGCCCACCATTCCAATATTAGTGGTAGTAAACTGGAACAGATTTCTCTTTTTTGTCATTATTTTCAGATATTAAAATTTTATTTATGTAAACACAAGCAAGTATACTATAAAAACTGTTAAAAATAAGAAAAAATTTAAGGTACCTGATTACAAAAAATACATATATGTAAAATTCAATATTTTTTCCTTTGCACAAACAATGGCCAACTTGAAATTACAATGAATGAGAGAGCATACTAATACTTTTAAAGGTTAAAAATTTAGCAATATGTTTAACAAGAAACATACAGGATATATAAAAGGTTTGAAACTTCCAAAGGGAATGAAAAATTTCAAGTCAAATTGCAATTCACATTTTCAGATATATCTGAAATACATACACAAAACAGTATATAAAATATAAAACTGAAAAATTTCAAAAGAGATAGCCACATATACACACACACGTAAGCATCTCCATAAAGCAGACATGAAAAAAATCTAATGCAATGCCAGGATGAAGGTTCAGGCCTGCTGAGCTTTGAGTCCAGAAGCAAACAGAGACAGGTAGGAATTCATTTTCTCCAACATACTAAGGACAAAGTGTGGAATAGATTTCTACTTAAATATCTACAACTTCAGATAGGTCTCAAGGTACAAAGTAGTTCTGGTCATTTCTCTTTCCGATGGGGTTCTGAAGCACTTACCCTCCTTGTGGTGAGCCAGGGGCCGAGGAGCTGGTCTCTTTACATGGAAAGAGGGGGCCTTGGTGGGCCCAGGGCTTGGCATAGGTCCATTGGTGGCCTTTGGTATGGCTTTGGTCCCTCCATCCTGCAGCCTAGACACCAACTTCCCCACATCCACCTCGAGGCAGGACTCCACCTTGCCATCTGAAACAAGCCTGCTTGGGGATTTCCTCCCAGGATCGGCTTCTCCACTTTTCTGAATAGGCATTTTGGGGTATTGTGGTGGCTTAGGGGGTTCTATACTGCTGATGATAGTACCATTGGGTGTTCTATGTTGGACTTCATCTAGGAAAAGTTGGTGCAAAGAGGGAAGATTAATGATAACCTTTATCACCTTTTCACTTTTATACATGCATGCATAATATTGAAAAATTACACACATTTTCAAAGGTGCTTTTATCATGGAACAAATCAATAATATCCCACAAAATCAGTCTCTAGCTACCCCAGTCCATGTGGAGTCACAGGTCTCTTCAAATAGGGAATTCAGTTCAAGATCTGAGTATTATTTTCATGACTACAGTTCAGCAAAACCACAATATGCCAAGATGCTTTATTTACAGGGATATGTTAAATAAAAAACAACTTAAGAGCCCCCAGTCAGTTGTATACTCTATTACTTTTAAATAAAGACATCAATTAATCCTTAACTATTTCTATTTGTCTCAAAAGTAATTTGTAAAGAGCTTTCAAATTTCAAGTTAATACGCTTTAACAGAATTTAACTTCTTTCTTCATACTCAAAAAGATATCCTCAACTAGCCACGTTATGGTCCTCCCCTAGCTTTTGTGGTTTACAGCTTCTTGTGATAATAACATGTGCTTTTCAGTTGTGCTGTGTCTTAATTAAAGCTTTGAGACTCTAGTGAGAGCCAGAGATATTCTCCTTAGAAAAAGTAACTTACACAAATACATGCAAAATTTTGAAAACTAATCTAAAGAGATTCATGGAGCTCCCTGAAATTGTTGACAAACCCCTGATTGAGAATTCCTGCTATAAGAAAATTGTCACCTCCTTTGGTAATAGAAAACCCAGATCAGAGTGTAGTGATTAAGAAGAGAGGTTCTGGACAGCCAAATGAGACCTGAGAGACATGTCAACCAATTGTAATACATGGATCTTATTTGGATACTGATTAAAAAATAGTAATAAAAATGGGAGAATCTGAACACTGATGAGACGGTTAGTGATACTAAGAAATTACGATTTTGACATAATCTGAAAAGAAAAAATATACACAAATGTATATGTATAACTGAATCACTTTGCTGTACACTGTAAATCAACTACACTTCAAAAATTTTTTTTACAAAATCTAGTACAAAGAGAGAAAAAAAGAAATTACTATTTTGTTATCTTTTCTTTTAGGTATGATGATGGTATTGAGATTTTGGTTTGAAAAAAGAGTCCTTATCTTTTATAAATACATACTCAACATTTATGGATGGAATGACATGATGTCTGAGTTGGGCAAATGGATAGGGGTATGGATGAAACAAGATTGGGCATGTGGTGGTAAATGTTGAAGCTGGGTAAAAGGTACAAGGGGAGTATGTCATATTGTTTTTTAAACTTCTGCTTATGTTTGAAACTCCACAATACACACAGGCCAGCTTCAGAAACTGCAGAGAACTGGGGGTAAATCCTATCAGACAAGGAGGCTTCACAAATAGGCAAGCAGCCAACTAGGGGCCTCTTTTCTGTGTGAGTGCGTGATGGGGAGGAGTTTTGAGAGGTTGCACATTAGTCCAGCAGGAGAAATAGATCAATTATTATAATACAAGTAGAATAATGCAAATAAGTGCTATGAGGAGGACAGTGCCAATTTTCTCAGGTGTTGCTTGGGAAAATCTTGTAAAAGAGATATTTGACCTAGGACTTAAAGGATTGCAGTAGATGGAGAAAAAGGGGGGGAGGGAACTTCAAAGAGTGAGCAACTTGAAGGAGTGAAAAGTCATGGTTTGTCTAAGAAAATTAAAAAAAAAAGAAAAAGTTTATTGTGGCTTCAGCACAGGAACCAATTTTAGATGAAAAGTGTGGGTAGCTTGAAATGAGTTTGTTAAGGTGGGTTGGGGCTGTATCATGAAGGCCATGAATGCCATGTTCAGGAATATTATCTTTATCATTGGGCTGCCGAGGATCATGACTTTTTTTGGCAGGGAAGTGACATTATCATATATATTTTTAGAATGTCTCTTTAGATTCATTATGAAAAGTAGACTGGAACAGAGAGACCGGAGGATAGCAGACCCGATGGAGATTGCTGATGAGAAGGATCTAAACTGCAGCAGCAGTAGCAAAGAGAGACAGATTCAAGAGATGTCAAGGGAGTGGAATGGACAGAGCTTCGATATGGGGGTGTGAAGTCCACGATGATGATGAAATAAGTCACTATAATATTACATACAAGGGGAATAAAGAGTTTGGGGGTAAGAAATGAAATGCTATTGGTAAAAAATAAAAACACTGGTAAGCAGAGGGATTGGTACCCTCTCAGAACACTGTTCAAACAGGTTATAGGAAGTACAATATTATAGTAGATAAATGGGGTCTGGAATAAGATGGATGCAAATTGCTGCTCTGACATTTAGCAGCTGTGTGAATTGGGCCAACTACTCAGTCTCTCTAAGCCTCTAGTGCCTTCACTATGAGAAGTGATGAGGATAAAATGAATATAGATTCACACCCATTTAGGATGGCTAGAATTAGAAAGATATGGAAACAACCTAAGTGGCCATCAGTGGGTGAATATATATTTACATTTAAATATATATATATATTTATATTTATACTTATATTTATATTTATATTTATATATATTTCAGACTTAGAAAGATATCCTACCATTCATTTGCTGTAATGTAGGTAAACCTGGATGACATTATGTTAAGTAAACTAAGCCAGACACAGAACGAAAAATGATCTGCATGATATCATTTATATGTGGAAACTAAAAATGTTGAATACATTGAAGCAGAGAGTAGAACAGGGGCAAGGAGGTGGAGAAAATGGGGAGATGTTGGGCAAAGGTTACACAGCTTCAGTTATGTAGGATGAATAAGTCTAGAAATCTAATATATAGCATGATGACTACAGTTAACAATACTGTACTGAGTACTAGAAATTTGATAAGAGAGTAGATTTTAAGTGCACTCATCCAAAAAAAATTAAGACATGTTAATTAACTTGACTGTAGTAACCATTTTAGTAACCATTTCACTATGTATATGTGCATCAAATCATCACTTTGTATACTTTAAATATATGCAGTTTTTACTAAAACAAAACAAAAACCCAGTGCTGGTGAAAATGTAGAGAAATTGTAACTGTCATCCATTACTGGTGGGAAAGTAAAATGGTGCAGCTGCTGTAGAAAATAGTCTCGAAATGTTTCCTCAAATATTGAACATACAGTGACTGTATGACCCAGAAATTCCACTCTTAGGTATATACCCAAGATCATTAAAAACATCCATTCACACAAAAATCTGTGCACAAATGTTCATAGCAGCATTATAACCAAAAAGTGGAAATAATCTGTGTCCATCAACTGACGAATGATAAACAAAATGTGATATATCCATATAATGCAATGTTATTCCTCCAGAAAATGGAATGAAGTATTGATACATTGTACATCATGGATGAAGCTTGGAATCATTATGCTAAGAGGCTAGCCACATAAAGACCATATATTGTATGATTCCATTTCTATGAAATTTCCAGAATAGGCAAATCCACAGAGACAGAAAGTAAATTAGTGATTGCCAGGGATTGGGGGGAGAGGAGTATTGGGAGGTACAAGGTTCTTTTTGGGGTGATGAAGATGTTCTGAAATTAGATGGTTGCACAAGCTTGTGAATGTACTAAAAACCACCAGTCAACACTTAAAAAGGGTGAATTTTATGTCATATGAATTATATCTCAGTAAAAGAAATTTAAAAGTCTAGAGTGGGTTATCCCATTGGTGATCTTCTGGCATAAAGACCTCATCACACAGAGGGGCAAACTGAGACCCAGAGATGACTAGCCCAAGTCATTCAGCAAGTTAGTGGCCAAGATGAAATTATATTCTAGGCCTACTAACACTCAATTCATTCATTTACCATAGACATTTATTGAGAACTTATGATATGCTAGGTACTATGCTGGTACTAGGGATACAGAGTGAAAAATTTCTGCTGGCATAGAGATTACATTTTCTAGTATGTATTTGGGGAGATTGTGAATAGACAAATAAATGAGTTTATACAATTAAAATGAGATTAGGGAACAACAGAGGAGGCATTCAATGTTCCCTTCCACTTTCTACTAAATGTCAGCACACCTCCTCTATGAAGGAGGTAAGGAGGTGATCCCTTAAGCTGGGTGATCCTTTTCTCTTCATTATTCCCTATACACTCATTCATTTAGTCTACAAGTATTTACTGAACACATGCAATATATAGGAATTATTCTGGAGGCTGGTGATAAAGTGGATCTTACATTCTAATGGATAAGATATAATAAGCATGTGAACACATAGTAGCAAGTGACATGAATCCAATGAAGCAGTGTAAAATGATAGAAATTAATTGGAGGAAGGGAAAGAACTATTTAAATAGGGTACTCAGAGACAGTCTCTATGAAGAGATGGCATTTAGCAGAGATCTGAATGAAGGAGAGAGGCTTGCAAAGTTCTGGAGGAAGAATGTTTAGAGCCAAGAGAACAGCAAATGTAAAGGCCCTTAGGTAAGTTTGACATGTATAAGGAACAGCAAAAGAGCAGAGAGAACAAAGTGGATAGAGAGACAGTAAAGCTCAGAAATGAGATCAGAAAGGTAACTAAGGATCATATAATGCAGAATAAAATGTGGATTTTCTTCTAAAAATGCATAGAAGTCATTGGAAATTTGGAGCAGAGGAAATGATATGTAGAATCTAAAAAAAAAGACAAACTTATTTACAAAACAGAAACAGACTCAGAGACATAGATAACAAACTTACAGTTACCAGAGGAGGAAAGGGGTGGGAAGGGATAAATTGGGAGTTTGAGATTTGCAGATACTAAGTACTATATATAAAACAGACAAACAACAAATCCTACTGTATAGCACAGGGAACTCTATTTAATATCTTGTAGTAACTTATGAAATGAATATGAAAATGAATATATGTTCCTATATGACTGAAGTATTGTGCTGTACACTGGAAACTGACACAACATTGTAAACTTACTACACTTCAATAAAATATATATTAAAAAATAAAGTAAAATATAACAGCTATCATCATTAAGTTTTAA